TAATACTTTGTTAACAGTTGGGCCTGATAAAGAACTAACACGAGCACTTGTAAAGGAAATGGAGATTCAGGGGGAGGAAGGGGAGGAAGAGAGTTGTTTGTTTCAGTTGCAGGAAAGATCAAAACGAAGATGTTCAGGTTGAAAAGAGAACATAAAAGATGACCCTAAACTGGAATTTCCACTCCCTCCATCTGCAAAATTTAAGTCCCTCTCGTTAGTCTTCATCCTTCAGGCTTGAAGATTTCAAAGTTATCCTAAACTTCAACTCTTAGGAGGGTTTTCATGGCTTATCCTTTTTATCCTCTCTAAGAGAGACGCTCAGTTACAGTCCCTTCTAACAACACCACAGAGATTTCCAACACAATGATCCTAAAACAATTCACAAAAACACAAGCGGAGTGAGACATACACAGAATTCGAGACTGTTATTACCCAAGCATTTCTGCACACACACTTCAGAAAGATTTGGTGTTGAAAGCCCTTTTGTAGTCAGATAAAACAGACACACATGCGAGTCATTTTCCCCCTGAAGTCTCGCAAACAGGATTTTAATCACCAGTGGAAAATAACTCATAGTTAATAATGAACAATATTAGGAAAACTCCCTCCCCCATCTCAGACATCTATACTAATAAAAACAAAGGATATCCTCTTTCTCTAAAAAACCTTTTCCTGTGGAGTCCCTTTTTCTTGAAGGCTATATGTCTACCAGGGTTTTGGCAGAGGATGGATGAGCTGAGTGTGTCTCCTCAGAGAACTGAATGCCTCTTCTATCAAAAGATGCAATTAGGCCTTTTAGAGCAGGGAACGTATAAGCTTGCAGCATTTTGCACATGTTTTTCCTCCACTGAGCAAGAGCAAATATAAAAGAGACTAATTCTTGGCATTAAAGGAGGAAGCATTACAAGTATTGACTTTTAAAGTTCAGAAGGACTGCTCAAACTGACAGATTTTTTTTTCCCCTTTTCTCCCCTCTGATTATGAGAGAATTTCTCAGGAACCACAAAACCAAGGTGTACTTTAGCCAACACAAGCGGCCAATAGCTGTTGTAGAAAAGCTGAAAGACACAAGAATAATCCTATTTTAAATAAGTCTGGGACACATTTCACCACTGCTGTAGGATGATGCAACTTCATTAAATCAAGAAGTTACATGCACTTAAACTGGCAATGACCCCTTACCTCACAAAACAGTTTATTGTTCTCTCCACAGCAGGTAAAGGCTCTCGGTGGAATGAGTGATACATTTTTATTGTTGAGTCAGTCTCACCTTACACAGACTGCCTTGTATGTTTAGTCTTGGTTTTCATTTAAAAGAAGGTATTTTCAGAGACCTTAAAAGCAAATTTGACTTTTTTACTTCTTGGCAGAGGGACGCAAGGCCTCTCCAACAGCCACAACTACAAAGAAGTGGTAAATTCAGTTTACCAAATTAGACTTAATTCCTTATTACTCAAGAGCCAGGAGTTCCTCTGGAGCAATTACAGGCAAGTTGCATCCCTTTGGGCAGCATAGGTGAAATAACAGGAAAAGAGATTATTTTACTACTCCTCAATTTGAGAGAAGTGGTCACTTCTAAGGAGCTCCCTTTGTTAAGGCCATTAATGTGCCCTAGTGCTCTCACCTGGCTTCAAATCCGAATCCAACTCTCACCCAGCACAGCTCAAACTGCTGCCCCTTGGAAGAACAGAGCAATATCTGATCCCTGTCCTCTGCAGCACACTTGGAAGTTGTCACTCTCAAACACAACCACAATTAGGTGCTTGAAAAAGGCAGTCTTGAAAGATGGAAGAAGACACAAAATCCAAGGAAAAGACTTTTGCTTATAGTTCCTCATCCCCTGGAGCAGCATCTGAAGGTACTAAAATAGAGAAGTGAGAGAAACAAACACTTCCAAAAGCTGCCTCCTTTCTCCCATGCAGGTGGGACATCTCCCAGAGACTGATGGAGACTTTTTAATTCCCCAGCCTTCCATTATCCCTCACCAGTGGCTGCAGGGATGTGTGTGAGGACGTGTCCAACAGCCTGGGCTGCACAGGGCCAAGCTGGCCTGAAAAGCAGAGGCAGCATCTGAAAGAAACTGAGTTTTCTAACAGGCAACTTCAGATTCCAATTTTACCAGCAAAAGAACAACAACAACAACAACAAAAAAGAAAGTTAGAAACGAACAGGAAAGGTCAACAGAAATTGAGGCTTCTCTGGGCCACTTTTACATCCATTTTCCTTACACTGTACCAAACATCAGTCCCTGGTGCAAATCTATGCAAATCTAATTTGTTTTTTTCCTGAGTACCAAAAGAAAGAACCCCCAGGATTTCACCCACCCAGCTCTCTACTATCACAATAAAAGAACACAAAGGCCTCAGTTTCCCTGATGCAGCTCAATCAGAGGCAAACTGCACTCCCTTTATTACAGTGAGAAATGCAAGTGTACCTATTGCGCATAAACAAACTCAGACTTTGATACTTTTAGTTACATAAAATCTGCAGCACATAGAAAAGCACCATCCAGTCAATTATTCACTTCTGCCTGGATGGTTTTCTGCTCCAATCTTAAGTCACCCTGATCTACATAGATTTCCCTGCATATTCTACCCACATTTCCTCTTGTACTTTCTTTAGAAATCCTCAAGGCATCCTGATAAGCAATTCCCTCTCATTGTGTCTCCAAACACGTATGTCACCTATATCTTTTAATTTTAAACTTATTTTTCCCAGCATGTACACTGTTCTACTTGGAAACTGCAAAGTCTGCTCTTATCACACTGTTTAAAAAAAAAAAAAAATGAGGAAGAATCAAGAGTGCTAGATTTATGATAAGCTATAAACTATGCTCTGACCAAAGTCATATGATTATAACAGTAGAAGTTTTAATGTATTTTTTTCCCATTGACATACACCCACGTTTGGCATAAACAAGCTTCATCAGCAACAAAAGGAGATTATTTGGCAATTTCACTGAAGAAAAAAAAAAAAGTTGATTTCTAAAAGCAAATTATTTCAAGAGAGCAACTTTCTGTTTGGAAGTACATAAAAACCTAGGTAAGTTTAGGCTGAAAAAGGCTTTTTTTTCAATCCTAAAATACAACATGTGTTGAGAATCTTACATAGCTTGGTCATATCCTTTTCCTTACTTTTGCATTCAGTTGCAAATCTCTTGTGGAATGAGTCACATCTCTCTCAAAGCACGCATACAGTAGTCAGCAGAATCCCCTCAGCACATTCATGCACCAGGAAGAAAAACTTTTTTGTTCCTAAAGTCACCTTAAGAAACGCGGGGGGGGGTGGGGGGGGGTCATCAGAAATGGCCCCAAGTCGGTTAAAAGTTAAAAGCAACTTGCAAATAATGCAGATATGAGATGTGGGAAGGCTCTGAGGGGGGCTGGAAATGCAGAGTGTCCCCAGTGAGAGCTGAGCTGGCACATGGCAGCCCTGCTGCAACCCAAAGGCTCCTCCTGCTATATTTAAAGACAATACCTCAACAGTTAAGTATTACAACATTTGAAGTGAGATAAATAAGCATAAGACACAGGCAAATATCCTTGGTTATTTAATCATCCTGAAAGCAGCGTGGAAGTGTGAGGCTGAGTTCAAAGGTCAAACTCTTCTTTCAGCTTCTTGCAAAGAAAAGAAAGCTCAGCCCATTTTACCTTGGGGAAAGGGGGGCTGCTCTTTCCATATGCCAGCATTTCATAACACAGGAAAGAGGGAGTGTATTTACATATACACTGCATGGAATCTTTGCCTAGGACAATGCATTCCAAATCAAGATTCAGGTTAGAAAGAGCTGGGACAACAAAAAGTCCCAAAGAACAAAGGGAAGTTAAAATGTACCTAGCAGTTTCCCCAGAGCTTCTTTATTGCAAACTCTCAGATTTTTTCTGTAACTAAAAGTTTACTGTAATCACTGTTTTGAAAGTCTAAGTGAAAGCCACAGTTCCCTTTTAAAATAATTTCCCCCTGATCACAGTAGTAACTTAGCACTTTGTATAAAATATGGTATTAATCTATCAGCATAGTTCCAAATGAAAATACAGTGGTAAGAGGAGATACTTCTGAAGGTTAGAAATAAGTGCTCAAAAAGGAATTTTTGGAGTGTGATCTAATGAAAGGGGAAACCAGAATCAAGTAGCCTTTTGTGTAAGACAGTCTGATAAAAAGGTGCTAAAGTTTATTATCTTCCTCTCTTTCTAGCCCTACCCTAAATCTTGCTCTCCCCACCCCTCCACCAAGACAAAGCAAAACCAAAAAAACATTATTCACTTATAGAGGAAAAGAAAGAAATCCTCTTAATGCAAAGCCTGGCAGCCATTCTCTAAAGACTACTTAATATGAAACTTTGTTTACAAGATACCAATATAGCCTCCTTACCACACTCAAAACCAGAAAACATCCACTTATTTAAAGAAATGCTTTTTCTATTTTGATCAACAAGGACGTCGGTATTCATTTTAATTTTAAATTCGGCCCCAACAGTGCCATAAGAATGTTTGAAACTCATCTATGATATGCACTGTTTGAGAATGTTTAAACAAAGGAAGTAGGAAAAGCCTTAAAATACACAGCAAAACTTAATGGCTTCAATTTTTAAATATAGCCTGATTGCAGCATGGCAAAATTATTCTCTTATGCTCACAGTCAACCTTCAGAAAGAATAAGTGCAGTCAGTGGAGTAATTTGTCCCACTGGAAATTCTGTATAAAACATCTACCTAAAATAAACAAGGCTTCGCAGCAAGAATCGTCAGTTGCCATTAAGGACACACCTTAAAGTTCTTACCACACAGTAACTAAACAAGTACAAACTAGTGGGGACTGTTTGCTACTTTTGTCTTAAAAGTTAATGAGATCAATTCACTCCTCAGTATCAGATCCTCAGATCATTTTCTGCAAAATGCAGCAGACAAACAACCCCCAAAACACGACCAATCCAGCCTTTGAGTGGCTGATGTGTTATCAGCAAAGCCTGAGCTTCTTGCAAAGGCGAAGAGAAATACTCACATTTAAACCTGACACCACGGAACAGTAAAAGGTAAAACGCTGAAGTGCTCAGAATCTGGAGCTCTGGTACTGGAAGGCAGCTGTTGTTCCCCTGCCTTTTCTTTTGTTGTGCTTAATCTCATGTCAAGTCATTCAACCAACTCCAAAGCGATGAAGACATAATTGAACAACCTTAACTAAAAACTGATCTACTGTTCCTCAACTGCCATCTATGCTGTTTAAAGATTAAAAAAGGCTAACTTACGAAAAAAAAAAAAAAAAAAGAATCCACAGAATTTAAATCAGCAACTCTGGTGCATGCTGAAGAGTTGCTTGGCTGAAGGCCAAGCCAATCAATAATCACTGTTAATAACCATGGTTCTAAAGTTATTTGTTTTTCATATTCACCACCCTGAAAAACTTAAAAGGCAAAACTTGAAAACTCAGATCTTGATTTCAGGAAAGAGCTGTGAGATCGAAAATCCAAGTATTCTGCTCAGCATGACGAGATTGCTCATTAAAAAAAAAACACGTTGCAGAACGATCAGTGATCACAAAGCCACATTCCTGCTACAGACCTTAAAATATTGACTCAGTTACAGAACTAGTAAAGGGGAAGAAAAAAAAAAACCCTCCTCCACCCTCTCCCTCTTCCCTCCCCCTCTGCCAAAGAATGCAGTTTATCCTACTTATTTGCAACTGTCCTTTTCTATTATCCAAGGAAAGGCTGAAACCTCAGTGTGGACATCCCAAATTAAAGTCTTAGTCGTATTCCCAAACCTCCAGTTAGTAAGAGCTCCTAAGAGCAATAAAACATGGCGTTAAAGCATTTGCAAGCCATTGTCATAGCCCTGTGCTCTGCTACCTTTGCAGCCACAGAACCAGCCCCCACCAAGCATGGAAGCGTTGGTCAGCAAGTCAATGCCTGCTATTCAACTTGTAGTTAGGCGTTTTATTTCTGTGTCTTCCAGATCATATCACCCCTGCATTTCACGGCCTAATAAAATGTGAAGAATGATATGCTCCCTTCTCTCTCCCCCCCTCCCTCCCTCCCTACATCTGAAACTGCGTTATTTCCCTCTCTTCTTTTTCACACATTCTTACAAAAACTTCCCTTTTCACATACTTCTATAAGAAAATATTTCACTGCAGCTATACTTCAGTTCCTATTTCTATTTTCGATTTTCACTAGATTCTTCTGCTCCTGCCTCCCCCTCAAACCCACTGGTAGAAACTGATGTAGTTTTAAAGCTCTCAAGGTCATTTCAAAAATGAAAAAAAAAAAAAATGTTGCCTTAAAAAAACCCTTTAAACACACAATCCCTCTAAACTAAACCCTTTTCACATTCAAACGCCTTTCATCAGCAGATCAATAACCCAACAGAAAGATTTTTGTTCCCCAGCACTTCAAAACTATTACACTTCAATTCAAATACTTACTGGGAGTCACACAGCACATTTTATGGGATAGCTCATTAGAGAACGTACAGACCTTACTTTGGGTGCAGGTTTTCTGTGTGGGAGACAAGCAAACAAACAAAAAAAGCCCCACACCCCAAAACAGAAAGTCCAGGGGGCATCACGGAACAGGAATGAAATCCAATCTCTGGATATTCTAGAATTTTATTGTCCTCGCCTGGCAACCTCTTTTGTTGCTTAAGAAGTCAGTTGAGGCTTATTTATTTATTTTCTAAACTTCCTATTCCCCTTTAAAAAAAAAAAAAAAAAAAAAAAAAAAAAAGAAGAAACACGATGCTAAAGAAATGATCGGGAAAGCTTTGGTCTTTGAAAGACAAAGGTAAATGAAACAAAAACTGGCAAAACGGATCAATAAACTTTTCATTAACAACCTCTCCCCCCCCCCCCCCTCCGCCCCATGAGCCACTTACTACAAATCCTTCTTCCAGGAACATCTTTGACTCACAAAGAAATAGTCTGCTGTCGCTGCACACCCCCACCCCGGCCGAGAGCAGCCCCCGGGCCCGGCCCGGCGCCTCGGGGCGGCCCCGCCACCCCCCAGGTGTTGGATGGCAGCGCGGCCCCGGCCGGGGGCGCCAGGGGAGGGGGCGGCGGCAGCGCCAGCGCGGGGCCAGCCCCAACTTTGGGTGGGAGGGAGCTGGGCAAAGGCTCCGAGCTCCGGGCTCCGACCGCCACCGCCCGCCCCGCGCCGGGGAGGGGACGGAGGGGAGGGGGCGGCGGAGGGGCCGCTACCTGCGGCCGTGGCCGCACACACCTGGACCTTCCTCCGCCCCCCCCGCCGCCCTTCCTCCTCCTCCTGCTGAACCCCACGGCCGCCGGGACACCGCGGGGAAAGGAGGGGAGGGGCTCTAAGCCCCGCTTCAAACCGGGCCGGGGGGCAGAGCTGCGCCCCAAACCCTTCAGACATCCCGGCGGCGGCGCAGCGGCCCCCCCGCGCTCACTCGCACAACCGGCCCCTCACGGCAGAGGCCGCCCGAGGGACGGGGCTGCGCCTGCCGCAGGTGCCCCCCGGGGGGGTGGGAAGGTGGGGGAAGGTGAGGAGGAGGAGGAGGAGGGGGCCCGAAGCCCCCGGCAGGTGCCCCCCAGCCCTGCCTCACCTGAGCCGAGGCGCCGCGGGGGAGCGGCCGCGCCGCGCTCGGGGCACTGTTTGTAAACGGCTCCGCGGCAGCTGTTGCTCGGGCAGCCCCGGGCCACGCCCCGGACACGCCCCCCGCGGGGGACACGCCCAGACGGGGGCGGAGCCATCGCCGCAGCGCCTTTCACTCAACACCGGCCACGCCCCCCACGGCCACGCCCCCGCGCTGGCCACGCCCCCTCCCCTCAGACAGGACAAGGAGCGATGGACGCGGAGCGAACGCGAGCCCGCGGAGCCGCGCAAATGTGGTCACAGCCAGCACACCTCACACATCGGAGCGCTGATCTTTGTGTCCTCCGCCGTCACCGCGGACATGGTGACCCCAGCCCTTCCCGCCGTGTGCCTGGAGCCCCGAGCGCTCGGGGATGGGCCTGGCACACATCAAGGAGGAGCGCGACAGAACACGCAGATTTACTGTGGAAGTTGCCCCAAAAAAGCCAAGGATTCATCTATTTTTTATGTTGTTCAAACACCCAGCTGGTCTCTCTGCTCCAGAGGCATGGACACTATAGAGGAACCCAGTGCAGCACAAAAAGACTTAAAATCCCTTTCTGAGTTTCCCACTTGGCACTGAGGAGGTTTTTAGGAGTTAAATGCAATCTGTAGTGCCCTTAGCAAAGTGCTTAATCTCTGCTCGACTCTGAGGTTAGCACCTCCCTCAAGTAAATGGGATAAGAAGGAGCTGAGTTTCCATGTGGTCCCTGCTTTTTCCCCCCAAAGACACACCGAGACCTGCTAAAGTCAGTTTAGTTTACATCACTACATTTACATCACACCCAGGGGCTTGTTTCCTTCCATATAAAAATCATCCTGCCTGAATGGAGGACATTTCCAAAATAATTGCAGCTAAAATCATGTGTTTGGGTTTGGGGTTTTTTTAATGTGTTTTTTTTTAAAGTTCTTCTCAAAATGTTCTCCCAGTCTAAAATGAGCAACGCTACCCAGGCTGAAATTTAGGTCGCTTATGTGGCAAATAAAGATTAATGAAAACCATTACTGAATGTGTAATATATACAAGGTAATACACTTACCAGGTAATTCTGGAAGGTGAAATATCTTTATTGGCAAATTTGAATGTTGCCTCACGCTGACTTGAAGCAGATTTATTTCCATGAAGTGGTCAAACCTGGTAAGGCAAAAAAATATTAAATTATAGATATTTAAGTCCTGGCCTTTCAAATGGTTATATGGGGTGATGGGGTAGCCTCATTAATTTCCTGAAGTTTAAAATTCCGTGTGTTCATCAGCTATGTGAACCACGAGGTAAATGGATTTACCTTGAGGTCCTCCTCTGATTTCCAGGCGTTAAATCCTGGCCTTCCCACTGTCCTGAATGGAGTTTTGAATTGACACAGGAGAGCTTATTGCACAATTCCTGCTAGTTCAACGTGATGATTTTTTTTTTTTTTTTTTTTGCAGTAGGATGTATCGGAGCCGGCTGTTTACCCGTGCATGCAAAAATATTCCTTTGTCTTGCAAGAGCCGTGTATTTCTCTGGAACTCCAGCTCGCACTGTGTGACCAAACGTGATCCCACGAGCACTGCCAAGGCTGAAGCACGGGAGCCGTTTAAGTATTGATTATCTCCCAATGGCAGCGAGGCCAGGAGAACAAAGCAGAATTCTGCTGGAAATGGGCGTGGGAGTGACCAGGTTTTGCTACACCCAGCGACTCTTAACAATCTGTTAAAAATGTGTTCTTTCCGTTAAACTCTGATGGGAGCGTTTCGAAAGACCTTGTATTGAAGAGCTCGAAACTAATTCAAGGCACGCAAACTTATTAAAAGATTCAATTTGTATTTTTGCTCTTAACTCCGTGTCCATAAAGACTCCCTGAGTCAGGTGTTGTGGTATTTCTTGTTCTCATGTCACACCAAAGGCCGTTATTTGCCCCCTCCTCCTTTCATTTTTTTTTTTAAATTTTACTTTTCCATGTGAAATCTACTGGCCTCCTTGATCACAAGGGCTGTTCCCTGGAGCCAGGGCTCTGGATAACTGTAAACATGACTTAGCAGGGAACACAGCAGCCGCATGGTTTTTATCCACTGAGACTTGGGACCTCGGTGGAAAACATAAAAAAATCCCAAAAATACTTCTTCAGGAACAAAGGAGAGGCTCAGAATATCTTAAAACTTTTCTTCTTTTGCTCAAAATGCATCATATAATATCACATTACAAGAGTGAAATTAAAACATCCAATTTATTTTTACAGATTAGCCACGGTGACCTCTGTGATTTATGCTCATGGCGCTGGAAATGTTTGATATGAGGCAAGGGCCAACTTGAAAAAATAAATCCTAGATTTTCTTCTCCCTCTGTTTTGCCCCGTGTTGAGGACATTTGCTGCCTTTCTGGAGAGGATTCCCCAGTCGATATTTTATGTATGAGGTAAAAACTTCTACACCAAAAGCCCTGACAGACCTGTGTTTACTGCTCTGCATTATATGTTACTCCACAGTCTTGCAATATTAAACTTAGCCCCAAACTAGACTTTGGAACCAGGCAGCACGCCCAAAATTGTGATAATCTCCTCCAGAACAGCAGAAAGAAATAAAATAACACTGCTGAAAGCTGAAAAGTTTCCTTGCGGTCCCCAAACTCCTAACATACTTAAATATCTGAGTTCTTTTAAATTACATTATGTACAATTACATTATGCAAAAATCCAGGCTGGAAGTTTTGTGATCTGGCTCAAGTCCTGCTCTTCTCAGAGCACACAGAGGGAAACCCTCGCTGTCAGGGAGAATGAAAACAGAGCTGAGCAAGCAGCAGGAAATTCACCTAAATTTAAAATCTTTCCAGGGTTGCTGGGGGTGTTTGTCTCAAACAACTGACCTGAGCAGCAAAATGCCCGGGCTGTCCTGGCAGCAGGACATCAGCCAAGTTTTATTCTTCTGCACGGGGACTCTCTCATTTTAGATTCATATTTAGGCAGCTATTAAATCTGGCCTGTCGTGTGGTTAAAGGCACAAATGGGATTTAGGGGAGCTGGGCTCAGTCCCAGCTCTGCCACAGAGTCCTGTGTGATCTCGGGCAAGTCTTCTCCCAGGGCTCCCGAAATTTGGCCTTTTTAGGGGGGCTTTTTTAAGCCCCTGCTTCAGCAGTCAAGTCATTACATGAAATTTTCTGTTTGCTGGCATGAATAGATAAATAAAGTAAATACACAATATTTAGGCTTTTAAGGAGATAAGTTTGAAACCGCGATCAGAGTGTGACCTAATGGCTCGAGAAGTCCTTTCTTAGAACTGTTTGGGCTGTTGGGCCACGATATAAAATTCTACACCCTCCATTTCTACACAACAACATCTCTTTGCAAAATCAGGATCATGTTGCGCCTTGGCTTACAAAACAAATTGTTTGTGCAACGCTC